GAACCACCCAGTTATTTGCCCAGCTGGCTAGAAAACATCTAGGTCTGGGAATGTGGCCTAGTGGTATGGTGCTTGTCTAGATTGCATAAAGCCCTGGGTTGGATTCCTCAGTACCACATAAACAGAAAATGCCAGAAGTGGTGCTGTGGCTCAAGTGGTAGAGTGCTAACCTTGAGCAAATGAAGCTCAGGGACAGTGCCCAGGCCCTGAGTTCAAGCCCCTAGGACTGGCAACAACAATGACAACAATAAAAAAATCTAACATAGATTCCCATTCAAAAGAGATATATAAGACACGTAGGAAGTGTCACATTATATAGTTGGAGCTGGGGAAAAGACTAAGAAGGCTTGTCCTTTTTGAACTTACCGTCTAGCAAGAATTTCAAACAACTCATGAGTAAATGTCTTAACTACCTATTTTTATTAAAGTTATGGAACAAACTAAGCAAATTATAGGGGGATAGGAAATGAGAAAGGCTCTCCTACTTTTACTTTTCAAGAGATAATCATAAAGCCAACTTTGGGGTAGAAAGAAGTTTTCTAGACTCTGTCAAGGGGAGGTCAGAGAGACTGTGATATAGTAAGAAGATGTGTTACACCAGACTGGATATGGTTAAGGAAGGTATTGGAGGTCCCAGTGCTAGAAAAGAAAGAAGCAGGGTCAGATCTTGCATTAAGACCAGGCCTAGTAAAAAGGTGGTGAAATTAATATGATCACTAAGCTTCATTTTTCAATCTCCAAAGAAGATTAACAGTAAGTGTGTCAAGTGTTAATGTATCAGTTAAGTGAGATGGTTGTTTAATACCCAGAAATGAGCTGGAAGGGTCTAATACCTTTCCTTTCCTCCTTTAAGCTCATCTGTGTGAATGACAGTAGGTGTGTAACAGGCAGTAAAGTAAGATGTCAAGCAGTGGTGGGAAATGAGAGGTAGGCAGGTAAAGGAGAGGTAGCTTTCTTTCTTTCATCAAGACATCTGCTGGCAGGTGGTTCAGGGGTAAGCTGAGGAGGAGAAGACACCATGTGGCTGGCTGGTTGTTGAGGAGCAATTCTCTGACTATAGACATTTCTGAAGACAGTTTGTTCATCTGAAAGCCTTGCTTCTCTGGAGCATAATCAAGTCTTGACATTTGAATTCCAAACTAATTTTTTGGGGAAATAACTTTTCAGATTCTCATCATATAGTACTTGTTCAATATGAATAGAAATAATTACTTTGCCAAGTGATTAGCATGCCCAAGAATAACTATAGACTTTTCTCCCTTTTTTAACTTTTAGATAAATGTCAAATACCTTCTTTAAAGTGCATTTAATTTCCTTTCTTTTTTCTTATGAATCATTAAGACGTGGAAAAATATGATAGAGGTGCAGGGAAATGTAGGGCAATGATGGGAAATGCACCTGAGGAGAAAGCCAAGTTGACCTGGCAGAGAAAATATTCTCTGCAAAGATTTTCACACACACACACACACATACACACACACAAACTATTCATATCAATCATCTAAAGGCGACCAGTCCACAAGTGAGGACGTTTTCCCCGATATTCTGCATGGTTATTTCAGAATGACTCCATTCTGATAGAGAGCCCTTTGTGATAGAATGAATGTACTGGCTCCTCGCATGCCATCTGGTCGACCATATGGCAACCTGGCTTTGCAGAAGGCCCTTGCCTGGACCGCTTAGCCTATTTGACTCTCAATTTCCAGAACTGAAGTGAAGAGACAAAAAGACACCTCAGGGGTTGCTTGAGATTGTGTGACATGATGATGGATCATGCTGGTGCCATTCCTGGCACCTGCTAAGATCTATAGTGAGAGGGTCTTTCCTTTCCTCAGGTAGAAAGACTGCTTGAGTGATGAGCAGAAGCAAGTCCCTGTCCTTCATCTCCCCAGGGAACCTCCAGGGACAGCTCTGGATGAGGGCTCTGTTTCTGTAGGTATTGGCCCTAGGTTAATGGACCGACTTAAATGGAAGCACACAAGTGCTCAGATGATGTTCTGACCTCCATAAACAGTCCTGAGATGTCCAATATAAGGGTTCAATCACAACAGGCTAGAACGCCAAAGGGACCCCATTAAGCCAACCTGGGTCCTATGCAGTGATTTTTGGAGGGATAGTTGCATCATCACATGTGATAGAGTAGTTGTTCCATAGGGAGGGGTCTTTAGTCTCTTAACTGCAATGGATAATCTTACCACTGAAAGGGCTAGAGGAAACAGGATGAAATGGAAGAGAACGTGGAGGGAAAACATTTGTGTCAATAGCCACTTCAGAGCCAGCCAACATAATCTAAATCTCTCTTCTCTACAAGGCTTTCTTTTGGTTTTAATTATCCTTAGGAAAATGTAATCTCTAGCATGGTGGAAAGGAACTACTTTTAGCAATGGGATACTATGTTTAAAGTTATTAAAGGAGAGGGGGAAACAGCAGCCCTTCCCTGGGCCTACCACTTGTCTTTTGGGAGAGAGATGGCTGTCTACATGAGCTCAATGGTATGTTACAAACAGAAGTCTCATTAGCAAATTATCCTCTTGAATGTGACAAGAGTCCCCTGATCCTGTATAACAGGCTCCTGGGAAGAGATGCTTCCTTGAATTTTGAGAGCTACATATAAAATCTCTGGGTGTTTTTCCTCCGTTCTGATCCACACACCATTACACACTTTAATCAACTGTGTTGAGTCTCAAATGAAGCCTTAAGTTACAAGATTGTGGATTGTGTTTATTTACCTTTAAATTCCTTAGCTATCGACATCATTGCAATGTGCTTGCTTTCTTACTAAGAGATAATTATAATATCTAAGTAACTGTAATTGTGATGATAGTCTAGGAGGAAATAACATAACTGGAGAGGTAACATTTCACAGTGGAGAGAGCAACTGGGTGTGCGACTCTGGAGGCGTCCCTTTGTCTTCTGTATGAGAGGATTAAGCAAGTCAAACCTGGTCTATAACTCTACACGAGTCTGTTTTCAATTGTTATAGGCAAATACATGAGGCTGGCTAATTTTAAAGTAGGTGGACATATTTTTGGAGACATGGTTTTGGAGGCTGAATGTCTAACATTGGACAGCTCCATCTGTCTGGCTTCTGGCGAAGGCTTCTCAGTTAGGGACACAGCGATACTGGGAGCATTTCTGAGAGAGATCACACGATGAGACAGGAAGCCGGGGAGCTTCAGGGGCCAGGAATATTCTCTTTATAACAATTCACCTACACGAGAACTAACCAGGGTCCTATAAGAACTATATTAATCCCTTCTGAAGGAACACCTTGATGACCTCAGTCTCCTAACTAAGCATTATCCTCAACACCCCAGGAACCAACCTCCCAAAACATGAAATGGTAACGGACACAGTCAAACCATATCCCTACAATATCAGGTTCTTGGTGGAATTTTTAAAGGGCAGCAATCCAGTAGCTAATGCAGACATCTGGTTAACTTTTTGCACTGTGTAGTTCCAGTGAATTCTGAAGTCAATGACTGCAGAGATATTATCTATCTATGGAGATAAAGCAGGAGCAGGTCAGGACAGAAGACCAAAGAAGGTTCTTCCTAGGGAGAAGATTGACAGTTTTGACTGTGTGGAGAGGCTGGTACTTATGAAATGACTGCCTATTACCGATCAACAACACAGCAGCTGCACAGCTTTTAAATGAAGGAACACAATAGTAGCTTGAATTATTTTTAGGAAAGAATGCTAGCTTGCATGACAACAACCCCTAACATATAAAGAGCTACCCAGGTGGTCACATAAATATTTGTGGCTACACAAATAACTTGACATTGTTTTCTAATCTTTGCCCAAATATAATCATTTATTACTGATTCTCTTGTCAGCTTTTGTCTAACATTTGGTGTATAAGTTGTTGAGTAGCACCAGTTGTTAATAGAGTGCCCAACTCTCAAATATGACAACTAGAAATGTCTCCCAATACTGTCAAAAGTGCCTGGGGAACACTTGCACTCTCAAGTGAGACTGAACCAAACTATGCTTAATCTTTCTCTGAGTCTGAATTTTCTTAAGCATAAAATTAAGGGCTCAGAAATTACTACTCTATTATTGATGTATCATGTTTCATCTGAATTGACTTAGTAGGTGTTTCCAGCCACATTCTCTGTAAATATTAAGGTATAGAAGCAGTTTGTCTATAGTCAGGTATGAAAGAAAAACTTCTTTCTCTGATTCTCTTGTCCTTCCCCAGGCCTTTTTAAATTCTCAGTCATGGGGCTTGAACTGGGGGCCTGGGTGCTGTCCCTCAGCTCTTCAGCTCAAGGCTAGCACTCTACCACTTGAGCCACAGCGCCACTTCCGGCTTTTTTTCTTTTTGCTTATGTGGTGCTGAGGACTTGAACCCAGGGCCTCATGCATGCAAGGCAAGCGCTCTACCACTGAGCCACCTTCCCAGCTGGGGTGGGGGGGTAGGGGAGGGAAAGGAGGTTGGGAAGGGATGGGAAGGGGAAACAAAGGAGGAGGCTACAATGCTTGATAAGAAATGTACTCATTATCTTGCCCATGTAATTGTAACCCATCTGTACAATATTTTCACAATAAAAAAA